TCATTGTTTACAAAAGCTGTTAGGCCTTAATTCCAGCTCTATCTAGATAAATAGCTGTCGATGCAAGTTCCCCAAGCTCTGCTTTTGTCAGTTTGCTGCGGTAATAGAAGGGATTTTTTTTATGGGATACTCGTCCACCCTATCCGCCTCCTGCACTTGCTCTACTTTCATCGGCTTAACATCCGGTGAATGGTCCAGCTTTCTGGGGGTGACAATACAGGATGTGGGCCCTCAAAGCTTTAAATGAAAGCTGTATTGAGCCACACCAGCACCGTAATTGAACAGGAGTCAGATAACCTGAAACTAACACAGTGCATCCGGAAACAAAACAAGATATTGCTGAAAGTATTACAGAAAAATCCAAATAAACGAAAAATATTCTACCTTTCAGTTTTCCATACTCTTCTGGGTTTAGTTGGTCTTTTAGGGCTTCTATTTTCTCGATCGTCAGAAAATAAATCATATTCGCAGGCACATGCACCAATCATATAACTGATTTGCACTTCGCTGCGCTTGCTTCTACGGTTTTAAAAATACCGTCACTTTCGCACTGACTCCACAATTAATCTCTTTTAGTCATTTTTATTCCAGTACAGGTTTTCAAAGAAGGGGAAAAGTACCCATTTTTCAATATTACGAAAATACTCATTTTTTGACATTTTAGAAATAGTTCTAAAAATTAGTACAAGATGCTCATTTAATGGGTACTCTAGAGTTAGCGTTTAGCGAGCAAAAACCGAACTGAACTGCTTGATGGTCAAGCAGAGAATGAGGTGTTCGTTCTATTTTGAGATACACTGTTATTTTTTTTATTGCACTGTTATATCACTCGATGCGAAAAAAAAGCGAAAGCCCGACAGGTTCAAGCACAACGATGTGCAAACAAGTTGTACTCGATTAAGACGACTGGGTTAGAGAAAACGTTATTTTAACAAGAAAACAGTGGTATGATAACTTTTATTTTTACATTTTTCAATAGTTTTTATGGAAAACTAAAAAAGTTTTGATTTCAATAGATTTTTAAAATAATTTTATATCGATTGGTATATTTGGATTTCAATTTCATCTATCAATGAAAAACTTATAAGCCAATAAAACCTAACACCTTTTTGTGGTGGTCTACGTCAAACAGATGAAAATCAAGCGTTTTACCAAAATTACTCAATATTCATACAGGCTCTTCCAATAAAATCAAAAATTATATTGATAAATCAATAAACATTTGTAGGCTGACCAGCCAAGATTTCAAAAATCTACCTATTCGCAGTGTTTCAATTTTGAGATACACTGTTATATCACCAGATAGTCCATACTCACCTGAATAGCTTTGTCAAACACGAGAATTTTAAAGTGATTTAAATTTTTTTTTTTATAATTACTTTATTTGTACAGTTTAAATTTTATTGTATCGTATACGTCGACGTTTAGCTTATTAGTGCCACTTAGTAAGGCATTTTGGAACTAAACTATCCACTCTTTGAAAGTTCTTACTCATCTCAAGCACATCGAACCACTTCAAATTCGGTGTGTAATTAATCATGCTGCATTTAGATCGATGATACTCCGCGCTGAAATTGACAGTTGCTGGGACGTATGCGGATTTATGTCCCCGAATAAGTTTTGTAGTCTAGGCAATTAATTCAACCCCATATATGGCCCATTAATTCTAGAGAGAGAGAAGAATTAGTATTTTCCATTTAATTTCACTACTTTATTTGCTTATCCTTGACAGATACGCGTATTTCGTCTACAATGTGCAGACTTCTTCAGTGTCTTGTACTAATACTCGACTGAAGAAAAACATCGCATTTACCGAATATATATTAACACAGGTACATTTTCACTTAGAAACTAGGTAAACTTAAATTTAATTTTCTATAGGAACAGGTACTCCGCTGCTTACTCGTTGATGTGTCCTAGGTAGTAACTTGAAAAGCCATGTGTGTCCGTTTCCTTGATTCCTGTTGAGTAAAGTTGAATTACGTTGTTTGTTGATCACGAGCCTTTCTGCAACTTCCAATTTCCATGGTGTATATACGGTTCGTAAAATCGTGATGTCCTCCGTCGATAGTTGGTGGTCCTCTGTGAAGATGTGTTCTGCAACCTTTGATTTGAAATCATATGTTAGGCCTTTTTCCTCTTGGTTTTTGGCCTTATTAACCTCCGCTATATGTTCTTTAAATCTAGTTGCTAAAATTCTCTTGGTTTGTCCTACATATACTTTGTTACAATGATTACAGCTTATTTTATATATACTTGCTTTACCTTAAACATTAACTGGGTCTTTAGTGGATCCTAACAATGATTTCAACCGGTTATGTCTATTGGTGAAAACTAAATCTAATCCGAATTGTTTTAACTGTGGTCTTAGTTTACAAGTAATATCTTGATCAAATGGAACGGACACTCGTTTCAATGGTTCAGGTGCTGTGGTGAGGGTTGTAAATACACAGCACCTGAAACATTGAAACGAGTGTCCGTTCCATTTGATCAAGATATTACTTGTAAACTAAGACCACAGTTAAAACAATTCGGATTAGATTTAGTTTTCACCAGTAGACATAACCAGTTGAAATCATTGTTAGGATCCACTAAAGACCCAGTTAATGTTGTAGGTAAAGCAGGTGTATATTAAATAAGCTGTAATCATTGTAACAAAATATATGTAGGACAAACCAAGAGAACTGTAGCAACTAGATTTCAAGAACATATAGCGGAGGTTAATAAGGCCAAAAAGCAAAAGGAAAAAGGCCTAACATATGATTTCAAATCAAAGGTTGCAGAACACATCTTCACAGAGGACCACCAACTATCGACGGAGGACATCACGATTTTACGAACCGTATCTACACCATGGAAATTGGATGTTGCAGAAAGCCTCGAGATCAACAAACAACGTAATTCAACTTTACTCAACAGGGATCAAGGAAACGGACACACATGGCTTTTCAAGTTACTACCTAGGACACATCAACGAGTAAGCAGCGGAGTACTTGTTCCTATAGAAAATTAAATTTAAGTTTACCTAGTTTCTAAGTGAAAATGTACCTTTGTTAATATATATTCGGTAAATGCGATGTTTTTCTTCAGTCGAGTATTAGTACAAGACACTGAAGAAGTCTGCACATTGTAGACGAAATACGCGTATCTGTCAAGGATAAGCAAATAAAGTAGTGGAATTAAATGGAAAATACTAATCCTTCTCTCTTTCATTATACAGGTATTCCACTAAGACGCCCACATTCATCAGGATCCATTAATTCTGTTTGTAGAAGATTTCATGAAGCATATGATGCGTTTGATTTTAATTTCTCAAATTGAACATTTCGACAACGTTGAAGTTCCATGGACTCTTTTTACTTAGAATTGCAACTACTTCGCAAAGTCCTAGATGCCAAATAATATGACATAATAAATACAAATACAAACCACAAGGGAAAGATAGTGTGGACTGCATAAACAGATGAGTGTTCTGCGGTCGGGAGCGTATTGCTTTAAGAAATCCTTTTTCACGATAAATTGGCTAGGTCAGCAAATATCGGATACGTTCTACTTTATGGAATCTCACTCTTCACAGTATTGAAGCGTGTGGGCTGCTTCATTGAAATGTGATACACTTAAAGGTCTTATGCGTTAATTAGTATTATTTTCCCTTCAACAACTTGATTGTCTTCCCGCTCTCTTGTTGGGGTTGATGTTAATTAACAGTGAAGGAAATTGAAGGAATCCAACAAGCTGACTAAGTAACTACCAAGCGCAAACTTCTGAATCCATTGTTCACGGTCTAAAATAAAAGAATGGCTTATAAAAACAGTACTTTTCCCTAGAAACATCACAATCGAATAATGTGCCATCTAATGTCAGGTGCAACTCGTGATAAAAAATAGTGTCATCCAACACAGAAGACAGAACTGAGAAAAAGTGCTCAAATGGTAAAAGAATACTACGATGCTGACGATTGGACTTTCAACGGGAGAAAAATGAGCAGCTGAGCGGCGAACAGCTGGTGGAAAAAATGAGCCACCTCCACCGTCGTCCGAACGTACCGGAACCGGATGTGTTGAACATTGTGACTTTATTGTGGTAGGCGATGTGAATTTTACGATATGAAGCGTTGTAGCGACCAACCTTTCACCGACTGGTCATCGTCGTCGTTGTCGTTGAACCAGCTACTACTTCTGGTAGGCAAACGCCGGATATGGAGGGACGGTACAAGAAATGGAACTTATAGTTGTAGTAGTAGCAGCAGCAGTAGTTGTAGCAGTGAAACAAGTGTAACCAGTTTGAATGAAATAAATCAAAGCCGGAACTCGACGGAAGGAAGTGGACTTTTACACTAGCAACGTTACCGTTGGACCCTGATGGGCCAGAGCGCTAGCATGTGCCGCTTCAATGGTTGCCGTTACAAGAAAAACAAGCAAGGTAATTGGGAGATGGTTGGGATGAGGCTCCTTGCACTCTGTTTGAGAACTATGAAGTTTGGCCAAAACTAATCCTATCCAAAAATGGGTAGAATTTTTCAATAGAATTCTCCGATCTGTCTAGACCTAAATCCAAAGTTGGCTCCTTTCAGCATGATAACAAAGTAGATTTTATTCAACAACAGTGTTCAGAATCCACGTGTACAGAAAGGCAAACGACATCTAATTGAATTCTATTGTTATACCTTTATGATTAAATATTGATTGGTCCAACTGAAAGTTCAACCCATGATGACGAAAATAAAATTCCACGCTCTATAGGCATGGACATAACAGATTTTCATTCACATTGCAGCAGTCTGCTTTGCAATACTTGTTTATCAAAATGTAAATTAAATTAAATTCATTTTTCGCATTCATCTCGCCTCTCTAATTCAAAAACCCATTTCAAAATACTGCCGAGGCACGTGTCCGGCGACAAACCGCAACCACCCAATAAATCCTCCAGTAGTTGCCCGCTGTCGATTCGAATCGAAATTTAATTAATGTTCTCACTTTTTATCCTGCTTCTAATTATAGGCCTGCACTTGCGCAGTATAGAGGAGCCTCAGAGCAGAATGCCCGCCGAGCAGGGGGGCACAGTGGGGCTCGATACTTCGTTGGGCTCTCGTTCTGGTGTCCCCCTGCCGCTTCAGCTACAGCCAGCTTCGCAATCCGCTCCGAACAGTACCTCGGGTCAGAATCATCACCAGCTGGCCCTGAACAATCACCATCACCCGCATCATCATCACCATCACCATCCGCTGCACCAGCATCATGTGGGCAGCGGAAGCAGCAGTGTCACCACCGGTGGAGCGGGTAGCTCTGGATCTACCGCCAGCTATGATGCCGAATTCGCACGGATGGAGTCCTGGCTTGATGAGAATCCGGAGTTCATGCAGGACTACTTCATCCGGAAGGCCACCAGAAACATGGTCGACGGGTGGATGGTTTCGCATGCCACACCGGTGACGACGGGCAGCGGGAGTAACATGGACTCACCGACTCATGGCGTAGGAGCTCAGGCTAGTTCCTCGCGGGCAGGCTCCGGAGCGACCACACCAGTGAGGTATGTATCCCCTTAAGACACTTAACGACACACTCCACTCAATTTAACCTTGACCCAATGGCTCACGTGTCAGTAATCTTCTGTTATGGTCCGATGCCGGGCCACTCGAGACCCATCGTCGTCATCGTCGTCAGACAGGCCGACGGTCATGTGTGAAATGAATATTCATTACCCTTCGACGCGATAATCATTCCTCCTAAACGATGGACAGAACGAGGAAAGTCCCATTGTGTGCATCAAGCTGTATCCAATTCCATTTACACGACCACTCGGAGTCGCCACTCGGGGATTTTCCCAAATAACAACCCTGCCACGCTTAACATTCATTGCATGTTTGGAACGAGGTTTCTTTTCGTCTGGGAGTCGAATATATGCGCTTTGCTGATGATCACAATATGTGCCACGTTCTATATCATCCAGAACCAAACGACGACATTCAACATTAGATTGCCGTTCCATTCTCCCTGAGCATCATCCTTCGGGGCTTTTGGCGGCATTGCTAAGGCGATCGGAAAGAGAGGGACTTCATTTTCTATTTTATTTGCCAATTATTTCCACCTTAATGACTATCGTCCCGACCCGTCGAGCCCGAGCCCAGAGCCCAGAGAGTTGTTATCGTTGTAGCATGTAATCTTCTGGACCATCCTCAGAAAAAGGCACCACCCACAGTAACTATGTTCGTACCCCGCCTGATGAAAGTTCTAATATTCATTGCAATAAAGGTAAATAGCGGATTGAGTCTAGAATGAGCTCGGATGAGTCAATCCTGTAATGGTGGCAATTAATCCGTCGAGTTAATAAAGAGACTTCGTTCTCATTCCGGTTGAATTCATTTCATTTGGATTCAATGAAAGTGGACATGCTATTGCTGCGTGCGATCATGTCAGGCATAATGATGAGATTTGGGAAGGAAATGCGCTAAAGTTGAAGTGGGAACGAAAAGATGATAGGGGAAATGGATGTAATGTCGGCCATACATAAATTTTCAATAGCGACCCAAAATATCCATTTGTACCGTCCCATTGAAGCCGTTCATCTAGATAAAATTGATAAATAGCAGATTTTTATCGATGGGCCCAATCTTAGATCCATAGGCCAAGATTAGAGCTATTTCCCCTACTTTTTCAAATATGAATTATTGATTTTTTCCAAGTTTTTTTTAATTATTCAATTCATACGAGGTAGGGTTACTGTCGTTACCCATTGACTGTTTTCAACAACAACAATTTAAACGGTAATTCTTTAGTCTTTCAGCTTCAATCTGATTAGTTTTTACGACTGAGCAAACGCATTTGCCAACATACGCACTACAAAATGTTATTGATTTCAAGTTGCCGACAATAGAAAAGCTGGTTAACACGCAGTTCAACGGCGCCGGTGGTGTAGTGGTAAGCGTGATTACCTCTCACCCCAGCAGGCCTGGGTTCAATACCAGTCGGCGCCGCCGGGATGTTCTGAGGCATAACATCTCTGATCACGCCTTCCTTCGGATGGGAAGTAAAGCCGTTGGTCCCCGGTTCATGAGTTGATGGGTCGATAGGTAGGGTCCAGGTATGGGAGCTGCCTTCCTGGCACGTCGGTAGCATTGGTGCTCAGCACGGAAAACAAGATCGACGGAAAAAACAAACCAAAGGAAAAAAAAAACATGCAGTTCAAATGGCAAGGTTGCCGAAGAAAAAGAGGTTGCAGACAATATTCTCACTTACCTTAGAAGTTTGGAGCGTTGTAAAAAAGTTTTGAAACAGCTTTGGAAAATTCTATCAATTGCTACTTCAGATCGTCTTAGTGACAACTACACGTTGAGACAACTTGCAGATGACGGGCGTAGTATCTGTCACAGCGTCCAAATGGGGACCCTTACAGGATACCTTAGAAAATTTTTCTACTTGGGCTATCCAGCTAGGTATCGAATTCTCCACGGAGAAATCTGACGTAGGACTACGTCTTTCGGGAAGATGGGGGTACAATTTATGAAAAGCGAAAAATGAAATTATGAAAGATTTTGAACGTTAATAACTTAGCTGCCCCTGGACCAATTTCAATTATTTTATCACCAATCGATCAGAAACATTTCTACGCATCGATAACTGACTGTTGATTTTCAAATTGAAACTATTGAAAAAGTGGTATATGTCAAACATTGTCCAAAAGCGTCAAAATAACTAACAAATCCACCATTTACGTACATGCATGTGCTGCTTCCTCAACACAGTCATCAGATAATGGTTCCTAGATGAAACAAGTCGAAGTGACATTCGCCTCCGATCTTCGGGTGTGTACGAATAGGGAGGATACAATTGCGGAGCATTTTGTTGCCAATTCAGAACCACACGCCCGCAACGACCACACAAAATGCGGTTTTTTTCCTAGGATTTGTTTTCCGTGCTGAGCACCAATGCTACCCACACCCATGCTTGGCATACACAGTTTTGGTCACGAACTGCTCATTTGCTAATAACTTTGCACACAGTTGACGGAATATAGTTCTTTTTGAAGCAGTAGATAGAATAGAGTGTAAGCTTGTTGAAGATATGTAAAATAAAGTAGATTTTAATGCTAGTAGTAAACTGTATTTGTTTTTGCGTTGTAAAAATGAGGTGAGAAATGCTCACTACACATCTCGGAATTTAAGTGTTAAATTGATAAGTGTTGATTGGCTTTAATGTTTAATCTTCGCATATCTATAGTAAACTATGAGCCTAATCTATCAATTACTTTAAAGAAAAATAAATTTCAACATTTGAGTGGAAAGTTATTATTACCAAATGAGCAGTTGGGTGTATTCAACTGTGCATGCCCACACCTGGACCCTACCTATCGACCCATCAACTCATGAACCGGGAACCCCGAAGGAAGGCGTGATCAGAGATGTTATGCCTCAGAACTTCCCGGCATACATATAGACTGGGATTGAACCCACGCCTGCTGGGACGCTTGCCACTACACCACGGGCGCCGCTGCTCTCAGAGTTGTCATCTGGTAACCAAACATGGAAGCAGGGGATAGTCTATATAAATTCTATTCTCTTTTCTGAAATGTACTTGGTGGCCCTGAAAAGGGCCGTTTTGTTGCATTGGTGATAAGTTTTCTCCTCCGAAACCGTACAGAAAACTCTAACTCTAACTCTTTTCTGAAATGTACTTGGTAGCCCTGAAAAGGGCCGTTTTGTTGCATTGGTGATATGTTTTCACCTCCGAAACCGTACAGAAAACGTCCCTGTCGCTTCAGAGCGTAGACGACATCCATGGCCGTGACGGTTTTGTGCTTGGCGTGTTCAGTATAGGTGACGGCATCGCGCATATTGTCAGCACATCTCGGGTTTCCTCGAAGATCAGACCGGAGACGCTTGACATAACCACGTCGAGCCAGACGACGAATGACAGGCTTAGCAGTACCCTTGATTTTTCACCTAGAAACTTCCGATGACGCTTGGTGCCTCCTTTTCCGAGCACTTAACACTTGTTTCTCGTTGGACGGGTGAATCGAAACTGAGCCTAAAGCGTAGATAGCAACCTCTTATATAGACAACCAGCTCTGCCGGTACCATATATTCTCACTTCCCATTGGCTATATTATATAGCCAATTGGAAGCGAGAAAATATGGTACCGGCAGAGCTGGTTGTCTATATAACAGATTGCTATGTGTGCTCGCTCTGTCCAGTTGTTCGATTAACCTATAGTTTGTTACAAACGTTCGCAGATATACTGCACGTCGCGTCGTCAGTAGTGTCGGTCGCATAGCGTGATGGGAAGACAGCGCTCTCGGAGCAGACCAAGCAGTGACCAAGCGGGGAAGAAGAACAGTGGTGAGGGTAGCTCGGTACCTACCTCAAATAGGTACGCTACTCTGCCCACCGATGTTGGAAATACCAACCCAGTCCCGGTGAAGCGGACGAAAAAGAGGAAGAAGAATCAAGGACAGTCCGATGGTACGAGCGGACGCGACGATGTTACCGCGACGAACGCCAGCGACATCGGTGATTTCGGCGACGCCGTCGAAACCGAGAATTCTGCCGGCCCGAGTGCGGTGAAAATCAAGCTTCCTCCACTGGTGGTGAAGCAAGTACCACTCAACACGCTGATTGGCGATCTCTCATCGCTGGGCGTTGCCGCTGAGTTTAAGCTCGGCAGGATCGGCACCAAGGTGATGCTGCGAACAAAAGCAGAGTACGAAGTGGCCGTGAAATATCTGAAGGATTCCAAGGCGGAATTCTTCACGCACGACATCCCCGGTGAGAAGCCCTTCAAGGTAGTCATCAGGGGTCTACCAAATTTCGACCCCAAGATGGTCGAAGCTGAAATCAACCGGTACAAGCTAGCCCCAATCGCTGTATTCCGAATGACAAGGAGAGACGAAAACGTGAAGACGTACCCGGATTGCCTCTTCCTGGTGCACTTCCAGAAAGGGACGGTGACTCTCAATGCGCTGCAAGCCATCCGATCGATCTACTCCATCATCGTACGATGGGAGCCATACCGTGGCGGCCATCGTGACGTAACGCAGTGCCAGCGGTGCCTCAATTTTGGTCACGGTACCCGCAACTGCAACATCAAGCCACGCTGCAGCAACTGCGCTCAAGAACAGGCCACTTCCAACTGCCCTGCGGATGGAGCCGTGGCGTTAAAATGTGCCAACTGTGGTGGTGCACATCAAGGTTCCGACAGACAGTGCTCCAAACGCGAGGACTTCAAACGCATCCGAAAGCAGGCGTCAAGCAACAATCAACCAGGACGCAAGAAGGACAAAACCCCAGCATTCAGGACGGAGGATTTTCCGCCTCTTCGTGCTCCCCAGCAAAGGCAAGCGAATTCGCGGGTGCAACCCGCCCCTCCTCAAGAAGCTTCCGGTGATTCTGCTGGCCAAAGCTCTCCATCCCCCCTGGATTCTGGAGACAACCAACAACACAAAACAACAACCCCGATCTGTTCTCAGCGGATGAACTGATGGAAATTTTCGTCAAGATGTCCGGTGCTCTTCGTAAGTGCCGCAATAAGCCCGA